ATTTTATTTGTTTTAAATGTGTTGTTAGAAATGAAATCTAGACATCTGAATGTAGAACGTTTCAGACAATTTACATATTGAGTGCACACCCACACAGTGTACATGCAGTGTAATAACACATTACAGCTAATAAAAATTAAGCACTACTAATAAACAGTGTCATTTAGTTCAGTTATAATATCATTCATTGTTGGACGGTGTCTATACTCAACTATCAGGCAGCGTTCAACAAGAGACCTAAACGAGGCTCTTCTAATACTATCAATAAGACCTACTCTCTCTTCTGGTAGAGGAATACGTCGTGTTATCATCTCTAGAAGGAGGACACCATAACTGAAGACATCCATTGCAGGAGAGTGTTCCCTTGGATTCCCTGCTTCAGGTGCTGCATAAAGAGGATTACCAGGATTAGTGGTCCTACTAATGAGAGGCTGAAGGTTAGCTGATCCATAATAAGATACTTTAGCCCTCCATGTTTCTCCTGTTGTTTGAAGGAGTACATTAGCACTGCTGACATCTCTATGTAGTATAGGATGAGGCTTGAAGAGATGAAGGTAATTGAGAGCACAGGCTACATCTAAACTGATGCTCAGTATGGCAGGATAGGCCACTCCTCCACTCTCTAATTCCTTTCTTAGGCTCGTCGGCATTAGCTCTGTCAGGATCATTGGATTACCCTCTGTAGTCGCTCCTATGAACTGAAGGAGGTTAGGATGACGTATTTTAGAAGCAATATTCATTTCCCGAGAGAATGTCCCAATGTTATAAGGAGAGATGATGACTTCGTAGAGACACTTTGCAGCAACTTTCAGACCACGAAAACCAGCCACTTTCACCTCTCCCCATCCTCCTTTACCAAGGACTACCTCTGTCATTGTAATCTCTCTTCTATTCACTACCCAGGAAGACTCTGCCACTTGTATCTGCTCTTCAAGTTGTCTCTCTCTTTCTTGGAACTCTCTCTCTCTTTCCTCAAGCTGTCGCTCTCTTTCTTGAAGCTGTCGTTGAAGATCCTGTTCTCGTTCCCTGCCCTCTTGCATTTGTCTCTCTATTTTTTGTTCTTGTTGCTGTGTTTGTTGTTTTAATACTAATGCATTGAAGGACATGTAAACAATTGATACATGTAATTCATCATTCTTACATTTGATGTCCTCTGTCAATCCTTCAGTTTCCTTTTCTTCATCAAGAAGTTGAATACTCAATAAAGATATCTTCTCTTGTAACATTTCTATTTCTTTCTTACTCTCTAACAAAAGAAGTTAGACATAGTGAAAGTATCACCACACTATTCACAAAATGATTAACATTTGAAAACTATTTTTTATGGCTCATTGTATGTAAAATAAAAAACTTTGCTCTAGGTAGTATATGTGTAAAATTTTTACCAGTTTCTCTTGTTTTGAGAAGGCATTTCAAATCTTCTATTTCCATGGTCTTATCGTATCTTAAGGCTAAAATTCATAATAATTACTACACATTATACTTTGTACATTTACTTGCATGTGCACTTCCATCACGTTTTAATAATAATTGTGTTTCTGCTTCTGCTTGTTGTTCCTATATGCAGCAAAAATTATATATAATAGCTGTAAAATTATTCTACATACTTCATCATTGTCCTTTTTTTCAAGACCGTCTTCCTATAACGTAAAGTGAAGACACGTTATAGCAGTATATTGCATCAAAGTAATAGCTTCATGTGCAATAATTATTACTGGGGATTTCTCTTTTCAAATTAATTACCTTTTGATGTTCTTCTTTTAGGCTTATTATAGTCTCTTTCTCTTCCAGCAATTGCTCTGTCTCCTTTAAAAAAGAAATATAAAGAAAGGTAATAAGAATTAATTTTACTTTTTCTCCCTTTCCTTCTCTTTCCCACATTATCCAGTATCCAATGGTAAGTTTTTTCAAATCATTCTTTTTCAAAAACCGTAAATTATCCATCAGCTGTGTAATGAGGACTCCAGTGAGATGATACGGAAAGGAGCAAGTGATGCTAATGGAACCACCATTGATATATCTTATCTTCACTAGTTTACCAGATGTCTTGGAAAGTATATCTTTGATATCATTTAGTTTTTTCTCGTCAGGTTCCCAGTCAAAAATGTAGGTCACTGTTTCACACTGAAGAGAAGGGCAAGTTGCAGAAGCTTCAAGCTTTTCTTTAAGGTAGTCAGCAATGGGACTGGACTGAAAATATTCATTCGAAACATCACGGTATTCTTTGATAAGCTCGTTAGCTGCTTTAATTTGAAAATTTTTGACCACTGCACAGAAAAGTTCAATGTCGATCAATGAGCATTCTTTATCAATGACACTCAAGGTGCTTGAAATATTTTGACATTCTTCTAATTTCTTTTCAAGTT